AAGGAGGAGAAACCCTTTGAATGTGGGGAGTGTGGGAAAGGTTTTGTTACACGAACAGTGCTTCAGGTTCATCAGAGAATCCACACAGGGGAGAAGCCATTCAAATGTGGGGAGTGTGGGAAAGGTTTTGTTACACGAACAGTGCTTCAGGTTCATCAGAGAATCCACACAGGGGAGAAGCCGTATAAGTGTGGGGAGTGTGGGAAATGCTTCTCCACAAAAAACAACCTTGGAAGTCATCAGAGGCTCCACACAGGAGAGAAGCCACACAGATGCGTAGAATGTGGGAAATCTTTTGCTCAAAGTGCAGCCCTTTGGAGACATCATAAAACCCACACAGGGGAGAAGCCATTCAAATGTGGGGAGTGTGGGATGTGCTTCTCTCGAAAATATAACCTTGGAATTCATCAGAGGGTCCACACAGGAGAGAAGCCACACAGATGCGTAGAATGTGGGAAATCTTTTGCTCAAAGTGGAGCCCTTTGCAGCCACCATAAAACCCACACAGGGGAGAAGCCACATCAGTGCAACGAATGTGGAAGATTTTATCGTACCTCATCAGCCCTTAGAAATCATGTGAAAACTCACACAGGGGAAAAAAACTACAAATGTTTAGACTGTGGGAGACAATTTGCTCATTCAGATTCCCTTAGACGTCATAGCCGAATCCACACAGGTGAGAAACCTCACAAGTGCTCAGAGTGTGGTCGGTGTTTTTCCCACAAAGTTTGTCTTGTGACCCATCAAAGAACGCACACTGGAGGAAAACCATATAAGTGTCTGGAGTGTGGGAAATGTTTTGCCCATCCTTCAACACTTCACACGCACACCAGATATCACACAGGAGTGTGGCCTTACAAGTGTGCCGAGTGTGGGAAACCATTCCTTTGCAAATCAAAGTTAAGCCTCCATCAGAAAATCCATAGCAGAGATTAACCTACTGTATTTGTCGGAGTATAAGATGCTCCAAAGTACAGAAGATTTACACTGTTTGTGGTGTTACATTTCTTTCTCTTTTGTAATTTTTTTTATTTTTCCATTTTCACAACATATAATCACATGTATTCTACTACATAACCAACATCATTTTGCATTATTGTTTACATCAATTCATCTTACCATCAGCTCCCAAAACACAATTGTTCAGCTCTTCTGCTTCCATACACCGTATTTATCCTAATCCATCACTTTCTTCTCCCTCTCTCCTCCCACTCCCTGCCTCCTTTCTTCCCTCTGTCATCCTTCCCTACTCCCCCTTCCTCTCTTCTTCTCCTCTCTCCCCTCCTCCTTTCTCTCCTCCTCTTCCCCCCTCCTTGCCCTCTCTCCTATTCCTTTCTCCTTCCCCTGCCTCCCCTCTTTTCTTCCCACTCTTATCATTTACTTGGTGTATTTCGGCTTCTTAGCAAGCTCCGTTTCATGTTGAAGGTATTTATCAATATACATATTTCATTTTAACATTCTTTCTTGGGAAAAAATAGAAAAAAGTATACATATATAGTTATTGTGCTTTTAAGCCCCTCCCCCCCAATCTAATTTTGGTCGAGATGTAGACCTGGTTACAATTCCTAGCTATTCTCATCATTATCTTTATATAATTATACATCCTTATGCGCTCCCAACTTGTGATTCTATCTTAAAATCATAATAATTTCCCATTGTAGATACAGTATATTCCGTGTTCCCTCTCTATTTTTCTATAACTTGGATTAAATAATCCTTAAATTGTCTATAAATGACACAGCACACTGTTCAATGTTTATTACGATTCCCTTAATCTATTATGTAAAGGAAAACAAGCAGTAAACATCTCGCTTTTTTCACCATCTTAAAATTGAACCCATGTTTAGTTATCTATCCTACTGTTGTCATTTTCAGTTAATTCGCAACTCGGTTTAATTATCATATGTAAAAGTGAAACAGAATCCTCTGCTTTACAACCTCCCCATATCAGTTTCATATTTATCCACAGTCAATGTTTTTTGGCTTTTTTAGTTATCTTTCCATTATTATGTTCAACCAGTTAGCAACTCCATTTTATTTTCATATTTAAAAATAAAACCCTTATCTTACCTTATATTTTCACCTATCTAGGTATCTGATTTTTTCCTAGTAAGTCTTTTGTCCCATTTCTCTGTTCCTGTCTTCCCCCTTTTCTTTGTTTTAACACCTCCACTCCCAACAGTTTTCCCCAAACCATCCTCACTCAAGTATTTTTATATTTCTCTTTGTTGAGGTGTAGCCTCCTACTTCAATTTTCTTTATATCACTAACAACCTTCAAGAGCGGAGGTGGCGCAGTGGTTAAATGCAGCACTGCAGGCTACTTCAGCTGACTGCAGTTCTGCAGTTCGCTGTTCAAATCTCACCGGCTCAGGGTTGACTCAGCCTTCCATCCTGGTGGGTAAAATGAAGACCCGGATTGTTGTTGGGGGCAATATGCTGACTCTGTAAACTGCTTAGAGAGGGCTGAAAGCCCTATGAAGCGGTATATAAGTTTAACTGCTATTGCTATAGTTCATATCATTTTTCCGCCTGTATATTTACGTTTTGATGTTTTCTTATTTCCCCTTCCCCTATATTAATCATGTGTCATCTGA